GAAAAATAAAAGACAAGTAACCCTTGCAGCTCCTCTCAAGTCTCCATATGTTAAAAGACAAATAAATAATAATAGCTCAAAGTAAACAACAACGACCAAACACCAAGACTATGTAACTTGTAAAGAGAGAAAACATTACTGCAATCAACATAAAAAAGTTCGCCTCTAGCCTCAATATTCTCTATTAATTTTCCACTGGAAGAAATATCATCTAGACAACGGATAACAAGGCAAAACAAAAAAAACAGATAATCATTACTAAGTAAGGCAATGCTCATCAAAATAATACAAAAAACATTACAAAGTGATAAAATGTAAGAAAGCACGATACTTGGTAGGACAGCAATAGATTCAGTTTTAGACAAAAAAGCTTCACTTAAGGTATCACCAGATTCCATGTAATCTGAATCAATAAAAATACACAAATAAATAACAATAGCTCAAAGTAAACAACAACCAAACAAAAACAATATGTGACTTGAAAAGAGAGAAAATAATACTGCAATCAACTTCAAAAAGTTCGCCTCTAGCCTCAATATCTTCTATTAATTTTCCAGTGCAAGAAATACCATCTAGACAGGGGATCACAAATCAAAACAATAAAACAGATCATCATTACTAAGTAAAGCAATACTCAGCAAAATAAATCAAATATAGTGAAGGTGTTTCTTGACAAATTACCTCCATAACTAGACATAGCATCAAATCTTGGATAAAACAAAATGTTGCAACATAAAAAATATGAACTGAATGAAAAAAATGATTTTGTTCCAATGAGAGAAGAAAATAACCTAAACATAAAATTGCAATAGAGAAGAAAATAACCTGAACTGAATGAACAACTGCAAAAACCTAAACCTGCGTAGGAAGCAACAGAAGTAAATAATAAAGATGAGGACAACGACGAAAGCTGTAGAAGAAGAATGAAAGTAAGACCGAAGATGGAAACATCAAAGAAGAAAACTTTGTCACTACAGAAAAATTGGAACAAAATATGAATCCATAAGATAATAAAAATACAAGAAAAAACTGAATGGAAATTTTACTTCCATCGATGACCAGACGGAAATCTTAACTGGAGAGAATCGCAGTTGAATGCGATAGAGACGAAAGAGATGAACGAAAGAAAGCTACATTCGATTGTACATGGAGAAGATGACGATCAATGAGAAGGACGAAACATGTGGGAAGGACCAAGATCAGACTCAAAGTTGAAGTTAATTACAAAAAACCCGGCTGTACCACGTAATTTACCTGTTGAGGGAACTGTCATCTATTAATATCTAAAGAGACAGTTTTTTGTGAATTGGTTTTCCCCCTCAAAAACGTCATTGTCAAGAAATTGGTATTAAGTGGATTAATATAATAGTACAACTAAAGATTTGATTGGTCACTATTTAGGTAATATCTTTTTGGATTTGATCTTGATTTTCCAGCAAACTAAAGATTTTTCTCATTGGTCCTTTTTGAGTATGAATTCAGATGAGCTTACTGTTGAGATTTATTTCGATTTCCAACTCAAGAAGCAGGTTTTCTATTGGACAATTTTTAGTCCAATTTTTAATTAAGAAAAAAAATACAAAACGTGCATTGTCTAGGGAAATTTGCTCACACGAGAAAATAAAAAAACCAGTCTTCCAATGATGCGGTTGTACACATGTTAAAATCAATGATGTTCATTTTCAATTGGTCAAAAAATCGGTGCAGTAGTAGGTTGCAATGAAAGGATTGGCTGGGAAAGGATTTAAACACTGTTCACACAAAATATTTGTGAACAGTACAATGTTGCTATTGGCCAAACATGTGGTGCAACTGTATACTTTAAAAGTAAGAATACGTACGCATGGTTTAAATTATATGGGGATTGCAATTGCTTGAAATACTAATATCTTATTGGTGAAATACGCATGGTTTAAATTATATGGGGATTGCAATTGCTTGAAATACTAATATCTTATTGCTTAAAAAAAGGTTATTTTGCGTTGTATTAAACATTTTAAGAACAATTTTCAAAGTAGATACACCCTCCGATCTCTATGAATTGTTCACTGTTTTGGCACGAATTTTAAGAGGAAAATAATGGGGGTAATATGAAAGTTGTAGTAATTTCACTAATTTGTATTTAAATGATAAAGTAAGAAAGCGGAAGAGATAAGAGTAGTAAAAGTGGAGTATATGCGTACTTTGATTGAAAAACTTGCCAAAAAAGAAAATATGGACAAATAATTAAATGTCCAAAAAGGAATACAAGACAATTAATAGAGAACGGATAAATGTACAAAATGATGACCTTCCGAACGGTTTTGAATAAATATCTTTTGTAAGATAAAGATTCTAAAACGTAATTTGTTATGACCGATTCAAAACAGAATTTGTTAAGACTTATTTCATAATTGAGTATAAATCAATTTCTAAGTAAGGTTTTATAGGTTGTGGTTACGTAAAAATAATTTTTGATAATGTGAACAAACTGTTTAGATACGGCATAACGTAATATGGAGTATAAGAGATCTACAATATTATTATTTCTACCTATTTGTTGGATGTTTTTGGTCTTATAAGAAATGCTTAGTACTCTATTTTGTAGCATAATATTATCAGTGTGTTTCGTTTATTGCTTTGAGTTATATCAATATTGCATCGAGATATATGTTGTCATCAACCAATAATGTAATTTTCATTAGTGAGCACAAATAAATTTGAAAGAAAAATCTCTGACCGTGCATCGCACGGGTGCTTGACCCCATCCGATGCCAGTATAGTTTACTGATTATCGCTCATAAATCTTAAACATGATACACATTTAATGAGAAAAACATGCTCAAAAATTAAACAAAGGAGAATTGAATTACTAGACGGATTTTAAGTGATTTGGGATCAAATATAACACAAATATACAGGGAATATAGGCATGCACTTATGGATATAAATATTTCAAGCGAAACCTTACATTCACTGTTCTTCCGGTTTTAGAGGTTTTCCGCTTCAAGGCTCACGATGAAGGAAAAGCAGTGGTTGGTGCTTTCGGGTATCGAATACGGTTCCGTTGGTGGATTACACGACGATGGAGATGGCATAGCAACCGGAGCCTATCATCTGAGATTGGGTAGGTTAGGATATGAGAGCTCATCCGAGAGCGATTTGTGATGTCGACTGAGAACCACTTCACGAGTGTGGTGTTCAAAGGCAAAAGAGAGATTGGCGTGCGTACGATAGAACATATCAGCGGGTGGAGGGTAGTGGTCACCGCTTAACTGTTGTGTGGAAGCTGAAGGGTTTTACTAAACTTACCCTATGTTGATCGATATATATGCAGAGTATAACCTTTGGTCAAATAGGTTGGGCTAGGTTTAAATGGAGGCTTTTCAAACAGGCTTATCCAAAGGCTGTAAATAATGAGGAAATAAATTTGAGTTTTTTACTAAGAAAAACTTTAAATAAATTAATAAAGTTCAAAAAATATGGAAAATTATTTATTTTAAAAAAACTAAAGTTACTTCTATGTAAAATTTGAGTAATACATTTCACATAATCTCATTATTGGTCGGGTTTCTGGATGATGGCGTTAAGGGTGGGTCCTGTCCGGTCTCTGTTGGTTTTTCGATGATATAAAAAATTATTCATAAGATATCGGTTATGAAAATCAGAGATCGAAAAAAAATCCTTTACATTTAGTTCGAGTCAGCTTTCGTTAGCTCGGGTTCGGTCTAGGATCGAATAGAGCCGGTTAAGGCCCGATTGAAGAATTATCATATTTGAGTATTATTTAATAATGTCATAACACACTTTCGCATACTTGCACCCCCTGATTTGCCAATTTACCAGAGCAATTCGTGTAAAAAATGCAATTCATATAAATGCATAGTCACCATATTACTTGAGATGTTTACACTTAGACTTGTTTCAGTCTCAAACCAAACCAAACTTAAACAAACCAGACCGGACCATACTTGAATATTCCCACAAATTTAGATTCAAGTATAATTCAAGAATGACATAACACACTTTCACATATTTTACTCCCTTATTTTACCTATTTAGATAGATAATTCGTCTAAAAAATGCAATTCGTGTAAATTTATAGTCACTTTATTACTAAGTCATATATTATAAATAATTTACCTTCAATTAATTTATATAACCCTTTGATTTTCGGCAGGTGTTGTCAATGATACCTCATGGGAGTAAACATGATGTAGTCAATGCGAAGATTAATTCATCATATCTGTGGTCATAATGCACAGTTCTTCATTTGACAAAAAATATGCGCCTGCTAAACACGACTAATCCATCATATTCTTACGATTTGAAGGTCTTTTCAGATTGGATTGCCAACATTGGTGACGGTGTTGCGTGTGAAAGTAATGATGGTCATGTTCGTATTACTATTCCTGAAGATCTATTGATACGCACAGATGGAGATCCTATAGCTGCGAATGTTGAAAGCATATTTCTGGAATATGTTGAATCTGCAAGTGATATGAGTTATTTGGGCGCCCGTGCAATTTTGGCACCGACACTGGCTGTGGTAGGTTGAAGCTGCTAATGACTATATGACAGCTCTTAATATTGGTGAAGTTTCAAGAACATATCTTAGTTCTGACAGTGTTTCTAAGGTAGATTCTACGACCGATCTAATGGTAGAAGTGCACACATCTGAGTTCTTGAATAGTATTCATAGAAGTGTTCAACAATGTTTAGGTTTACATTAAATGCATATTTACAATGTTATGGTTTCAACGTATTAGTTGGATGTTTTTGATCTTTTAAGTAATGCTTAGTACTCTCATTTTGACCATAATATTATAAGTGTGTTTCGTTTAATGCTTTGATATATATTAGTATTACATGAAGATAGATGTTTTCATCAACTGATAGTGTGATTTGAATCACTAGGCACACATAAATTTGAAAGAAAAATTCTCAAACCGTGCATCGCACGAGTGAGTTTACTGGTTAGCAAAATAGGCTTCTTTGTCATGCCCCTACCAAAGAAGCCCTAATTTTAGTTTGAGGCTTTGAGCGATCAATACAAAATTACAAACCAATAAAACCGCAGCCTATAATAATTCAGAGCTCGCTGGAGGTAAAGCGGCATCTTTGGAGCTGCCTGTCGTCTACGGACACAAAGTCTCAGCACTAGAGAATGGTTGAGACCAGCCTGATGCTAAAGCAAAAAAGAAGAAATATTGCACTCCCATTTCATTAATTTGATCAGACACATTATTGATTCAATTCTTTGAGCACAACTTGCTACTTTCAGGCTAGCATATCGAAATCAGCGTCCCGATTATTTAGGGAGATACTCCGCTTTGTATATTCGCCAGGTAAGAAGGTAAGCTGTTGAGATACTAGTATACTACGTATGTTTCCTATGTCTATCTGTTGTTTGAAGAAAATCCTGACTGCAGTTCCGCAGTGATGTTTGTTGCAACTTACGATAGTATTAGCCATTGCACTTGTGAGCTACTACCTCCGTCCCAGTATGAGGTGGTGGTGCTATTATTTAGAAAAATGAATGTATGTTGTTGAAGCTGAATTGATAGAGTAAGAATGAATTAAAATCAAACAAATTTTATCATATTTTACCAAATTTGGTACTACATCTGTCCCGTCGAAAGGTTTCCGTGACAAAAGGACAGAGTTATTTAGACTATAATTAAATAAGGTAGTTCAATTATATTTTGAGAAATAATTTTCATAGGTATATAATACAATGGGGTTAGTGTTGATAATTGTGATGTTATAAATATACTATTTTTAATATTTAATGATTAATTTATCATTTAAAATTGTTTATGGTTTTCTAAAATGGAAATGAGAACATTTATATGAGACGTCCAAAAAATGAAAGTGTGAATCTTTCTATGGGACGGAGGGAGTACGATAAAATCTTAATGAGACAATCATAATGAGACGGTAGAAGTATTTTCCCTACAATACATTTCGATTTTATACAAGGGCTTCTGAGAAAGATAACCACACTGTTAAAATGCTGACAGATATTACTTTATCATTTGTATAGTCTGAACTCTGAAGAAGTTGTCTTTTTAGCTTACTACTCCTCTGTCCCATAGTTCTCCCTAAACATTCTTACTAGTTAATGCTGGTGGATTTTCAACTTGTTGAGTTACTATATTCTCTGTGTTTATGTGCAGCACCCGCAGAAGATATGAATGGGAAAGCATTCTTATGCCAAGCATCATCTCTAAAGCCAAGGGTTCACCAGTTTTTCTGATGCATATGAGCTGCTACAACTCATGAGAGAAAGCAAGTAGGTTAGTATGGATTAGACACTTTCATTTTGATCCTTTCTACTCTTGTGTAGACTACATGCATATCTTTTTTTCCAGCATGTAAGAAGAATTTAATAATTCATTCTACAATTAGTTGCAACCAACAAAATGTTGACATTGTTTTCATAAATGTCTGAAACTCTGACTACATGAATCAATATAATACAGCTAATTGTGTTGGATTACTTGGATAGTCTTGAGTACAGAACCAATTTCAAGTCAATTGATATGTTCCATTTGTTTGAATATTGTAGGTACAAGGTCATATTGACAAGATAAGATGGCAGTTGAGCTTGATTTAGGTACTTAATCAGCAATTAAAATCTGTAGACGAGATTTGAAAGTATGTCATATTCAACAGTCATTCAATTCCTAAGTTGTTAGCAGTTCTACTTGATTTTATTTTGTGTTTTAAAATATATTTCCTGGTGAAGCAGAGTTTGAAAGATGGTTTTGTCTTTTTTATCATCGAGAAATGTAAATGAATTCTTCACTTTGTTGAGCTAACGTTGGCAAATGTAAAATTATAACTGCATATATATTTTTTTATTCTTATAAAATATTACCACTTCCGTCCCAAAATGTTTAGCCAAATCTTAAAATTTTGATCATGGTTTTGACTAGTATTATATTATGAAAGTTATAAATTTTATACTTTTATGAAATTTCATTTAACAAAGAACATTTTCATATCATTTTTATATTATAAATAGTTTCCGATAAATATATATTATTGGTCAAAGTTTTGGATTTGGCTAATTATTTTGGGACGGAGGTAGTAATAAAATAATAATACGTAGTAGTAATAATAATAATGATAATAAAACACTTGAGTAGAATAAGTTTTCTTGTCTTTTCTTTCTTTCATTCATGCCTTTTTCTTTATTTTCACCCTGTTATACAGAGGAATAATTTTGCATTGAAATATTTGAGACGACAGTTACATTTTTTCTTTCAATATTTTATTGAAAAGTTTTCAGCATGTGGTCCATTGCATTACTTTTGTTCGTACAGTGTACATTGCAATATGGTTACTGCTTAGCTGCTATATTTAGATACCTGGTATTTGGCATGCTAGTTAGTATTGATTGTTTTGGATGGCCCTTATTGCTTTAAAACCTGGAATATTGCTTCTTTGAGGTTCAGATCTATTATCTGAAGCTTTATGTTATGTGAGGTAAGATATTTATCACTGGTAGCTCAATATCAGTTCTTAAAGTTTGTTTGCCTTTCAAAGTTTGTCTGGATGGGATTTTTTATGTTGATTTGGAGTGTGATATTTAACTAAGTTATATCATTAATTTTTTTAGCCTTTCTGGAATTCAACATCCAGATGCATGAGTTTCTTGACATCAAGCCCTACTCTGTATTACCTGAGAGTATGGTGTTTTGCAAACGACCATATTGTAAATGTATCAGGTAACTCTAGAGTTTTACTCCTCGCATGAGAAATTATCATCTACATGTAATATTTTTTTATCCATGTCGTATTATTGTGACTTTCACAATCTTCAAATTGATGACTGAAGTTCACTGAAACTGAAATGTGTGATAAATCACTTCATGAAAAAGAAAGGTGTATGGACGAGGAAGAGACAAAATGTTGGAATCTGAAAAGTATTGGAGATTAGAAGCCAATCCTTTCCAGCTATGAAAGCTAAATTGCATACTGTAGGAAGGAAGTGCCATTTGATGCATTAAATGTAGATCTATATGCTGTATTTATTTTTATATTTACAAATTAATAAATGTTAGGAACATCCAAATTTAGGTAATAAAAACCCTTTCCCATTCATATAGGAAACCGGCCTTGGAAAAGTCATAGTTTGGTTATAAGGAACTTTTACAATGACTCAATGAGTGGTAAAATATTCAGTGTGTAGGACAGTTGTTTGGCGTAGAAGTTAATTACTACGGGTTTCATTCGATCAAAGAAAGTGCTCGGAGAAAGAAAATTGATGACAAAAAGTAGTGAATACTGAGTATTTTTATGTTTGGTTTTAAGTTTTAACTAAAGAAATACACTGGTAAGTGGTAAATGAAATACTCTGCATGATTAATTTTTATAATATATACTAGTATTTATATATGTATATAAATATATATTCATATTAAGTTTATATATAATGAAATATGAAAATTCCCAAAATAAGAGTGAAAAATACTCCGTATAACATTTTTTTCTTCTCAAAATAAGATTCATTCACTCCAAAAAGAAGTTTTAATCATTGTTGGTCATTTATTAGGACTAAATAAATTATATTTTGAGAAGAAAACATACTAATTTTTATTATTCGAAAAACTTTGTATATGCTTCACTCCTGTTTTGATAAATTTCCTATAAAATAAATTTGAACAAAATCTAGAATAAATTTATTGTCCTTTATTCTGTCCTTTATTTTACCAAATTTTCTTTCCAATTCATTTCCCTCTACTTTTTTGGGTACATAATTTGTGCTGTAAATGGACCCTTTTGTTTGTTAGGTTTGGTGTGGGGGTGTGGTGGGTGGGGGGTCAAGACCTGGGAATTTCCAGTTCAAAGCACATAGAATTTAGGATCAAGAAAGAAGGGCCCCTTTGTCATTTGGAGAGCCAACATAGAATTGCAAATCCACTATGATGCTGCCCCCACATTATGGAGCCCATCCTTCTCAGATCTCCGCTCCTCTTTTGATAATAAGATTTTTTAGGCTTAATTATTCATTCATTTTTTTTGTAAACACCCTCTGTTGCTCCATAAATACCTCAGTGTTGGTCTTGTTATTCTCCAAATCCTTCTTTCATTTCACTAAGTTATATTTATATTATACAATTATTAAAAAAGCAATAATTGAGGATGAAGAAATTAAGAAAGATACCACAAGCTGCAGTTCTGAAGCAGATGATTAAAAGGTGTTCCACTCAGTTCAGGCAGAGACATGGGTATGATGAAGAGGGGCTTCCTGTGGACGTCCCAAAAGGCCATTTTGCGGTATACATTGGTGAAAACAGGAGCAGATACATAGTACCCATCTCATTCCTGTCTCATCCCCAGTTTCAACTCCTCCTCCAATGCGCCGAGGAGGAGTTCGGTTTCCATCACGAAATGGGAATTACCATTCCTTGTGATGAGACGTTTTTCCGTTCGCTGACATCAATGATCAGGTAGACAACGAACGAATTTTACTTGAGAAGACTTTGTGTTGGGGGAGAGAAGACGGTTTAAGATGAAGCTCTGGTTGCGCTGCTGTGTTTGGCTTTGTCTTTTTTGAACGTCTTGATTCACCCAACTACATTAGCTTAGCTTTATCGGTTTCTTTTTTTTTTCCTTTTAAAGTTTATTTTGGGGTCAATTACCTTTAATTAACCTAGCCTTACTCCTGACTGTTTGTGGCCGGGTTAATATGTAAAAAGTTTGATGTTATGTTTTCCTCACGCTGGTGCATTTCATGCTGATTACTCCGCGTGAGAGAATTTGTTGTTTATAGAAAGGGCATAGTGAACTCTATTATTTCCTTAACTTTTGTGTTGAGGTAGTATTTTTTAACGCATGTTCTAATCCAATAATGTCTATTCAAAAAGAAGAGTAATGTTTCAAATGTAATTCTTTTTAAAGATGTTATGTTAGCCACATAACTTGTATAGGGCATATTTGTTAAAACTTAAAAGTTCCTTTTAAGAAGGTCTATTCAATATTTCAATATGGTTAATTTGGTAAAAGTGAATTGATGTGATGGTATGTATGGCTGGACTCGGGCCGGTTCGGGCCCGGTTCGGGCCTGGGCCCGGCCGGGCCTCGGGCCAGAAAACTAGGGCCCGGGCCCGAACCGCCGGTGGGCGGTTCCGGTTCCGGTTCCGGGCCAAACCGGGCCGGGCCGGGCCGGGCCGAACCGGCCCACTTAATTTTTTTTTTTTTTTTGGTCTCCTATTTAATCCCCTACCCCTCCCCCTCAACCCCAAACCATCCCAAACCACCTCAAATGGCCCAAAATACCTAATCCAACCTAAAACTTAAAAAAATTTCAAAAAAAAAAAAAAAAAAATTAAAATCCGGCCCGGACCGGGCCCGAACCGGCCGGGCCGGTTCACCAAAACCTGGGCCCGGGCCCGAACCGCCCAGCAGCCGGGCCGGGCCGAACCGAACCGGTGGACCCACCGGGCCCCGGGCCGGGCCGGGCCTAACAGTAACCGGGCCGGGCCGGTTCCGGGCCGGGCCGCCCGGCCCGAGTCCAGCACTAATGGTATGTATGTTCCGGTTTCTTTTCTTTTTCCTCCAAAAGGAGCCCAATCCCAAGGACCCAACGTCCCGACCTGACAAGGATATGGGAGGTTGTGAATCGTGGTGATTCAGACATTCAGTTAGTCTAATAGTGATAGATGTTGTACTCGTATGCATCAGATGTTCAACCCAACACACATGTTGTCTAAATGTGACGGTCGTAGCGGGTTTCGATTCTTAATCATTCTTCCAACTTTCTCATCACTCGACTAACTGAGTTATCTGTGCGGGTTTCTTTAATAAATTGGTATTGTTTGGATGATGCATACATTAGCGCAACGTTAGAAGGAAAGCACATTCAAATGTAATTCTTCTTTAAGATGCAATGTTAGCCACATAATCTCTATGGGTTATAATTGTTAAAACTTAAAAGTTCCTTTTAGGGAAGTCTATTCAATATAGTTAATTTGGTAAAAGTGAATTGATGTGATGGTATGTATGCTTGGTTTTCTTTTCTTTTCTTAAAGCACATTAGTAGATGGGTATTGTTTGGATGATGCAAAATTTAGTGCAACGTTAGAAGGAAAGCACATTCGAATTACATATATAATCAACGTTAGACGGGAACAATTATTGAGTGTCAAAAGCACTTTCAGTTGTTTGAGTGTTGGATCGAAATGGACATGAGAAATGATGTCATGTTATATTGATGAAACTTGTCTCACTAGATACATAATTGGTATTATTTTAATGGCGGGTAATGCCTGGGAGGCGCCGATGTTGGATTAGTCTTATATTCCCTCCCAATACAATTATTGCACTTTAGTTTGAGATAAGACTCAAGTTAGGCATTTATACTACGCAGACGGCAGATCTAAGCTAGATTACTCATGTTTCAATGGGAGCAAATAAAAACTAATCCAAGTTCAGGTACTCACGGACGGTTCTTGTTGGTAAATACAAGGGGGTTTCAAAAAAGAGTTTACTTTTATATACGGAGTATAGAAAAAAATGGCGACAAAAAAAGTTAATGTCATTTAACAGTTTTTTTCAGAAAGGAAAAGAGGTTGCGGCTTCTTCTGACAGAGTCAAGACTCAAGGGTAGTTAACAAACATTGAATATTTCATTTACAGAGTCCCGTTCTAATCCAGCCGGCGTCACGGGAACCGCAGTCCGACTGAGGGCATTTCGGGCACTTTCCGATCGAATTTTTTGATGAACGTTTATGAGTATATTCTTCATCAAGTCTAGTTTATCCATATCAAATTTCAGCTCAAAATTCGATAAGGAAGGCATTCAAATCATATTTTGAAGTTCACTGCGTAAAATATACATATAAAATATACATATTTTGAATGCCTTTCCGATCGAATTTTGAGCTGAAATTAGGTATGGATAAACTAGACTTGATGAAGAACATGCTAAAAATTGCATAAAAAGGTGGTAAATATAATCAACTGGTCATGAATTTGATTTCATAATGACATGGTTTTAAAAAGTGGGGATTTATTGTAATAGGACTAAAACATGATTTTCCCAAAATAGGACCAATCAGTTTAAACAGTCTTAAATGTGATTTTTTATTTATGATTGGACCAAAGTACTCTCACTGCTGCCTGTCACCCACCGCCGAAAAATTTGCAGAATTGTTTTCTGGAAGTTCGGCAGCATTTCTGCCGCTGACGTCGGAGTTCGCGGCCGCCGTGCTGTCGCCGCCACCGGCTTGGCCCGCCACCAACGTACTGGTTTGGTTGTGCAAGAGAACTATGAGGACAATTAATTTGGTCAATTAGTTGTTTAGGGGTAAAAATGAAATGGCTAGTTCTATTTAGGGAAAAACAAATACTAGGTCCTATTTTTGGAAGAAACCTATGTTCCAATCCTAGCCATAGCAATATTCTCTTTAAAAACTTAGATTAAAAACAGAAACTTTAGCAATGCAAGCGTCCAATATAAGATGTTTTGACTTCAATTTCTTTCAATTTCAAATCAGTTCACATCAGATTCATTTTTTGCAATTGTATGAGATGTTTTGACTTCAATGTCTAGATTCATTATAGAATCTAGACATTGATCGAATCAAATTACTCCTTTCATCTCATTTAAAGGTTCATGTGACAAAATGACATTTATTAAGACAATGATTAAATATACTAATTCGAGTATAACTTGAGAAATAATTTTGATGAGTATATAATATAATGAGTTATTGATAATAACTGTGATTTTATATTTTTTTAGTATTTGATGATTAAATTTTCAGTTGAGAGTGTTAATTATTTCATAAAATAGAAAGTGAGAAGTTTAAGTTTAAGTGGAACGAGATGAAGGAAAATGCTAGGGGTACACAAGTTGTACACAACTTGTACACACATTGTGGGTCACAGACAATTGTTACGGAATTGCCTGTGATCACAGACAAGAGTTGTTTGTGTACACAGACAAATTTTGTCTGTTTCCACAAACATTTACTTTTTTTTTGTAAAAAGTACTTGTCATTGTCATGCGGCTCAGTGTACTTTTTACAAAAAGGTAAATGTCTGTGGAAACAGATAAAATTTGTCTGTGTACACAAACAACTCTTGTCTGTGATCACAGGCAATTCCGTAACAATTGTCTGTGACCCACAATGTGTGTACAAGAGGAAAAGGTTGCAACACGGCCAACACCCAGCAGGCAGGGCTCGTAGCCTTGTAGAGAGTTGCACCTGTACCTGGCTAGAATCCGGCATTTCATCTTTGCAAAAGCGTAGCAAGAGTTAAGCAGTTCAGTGTTTCAGTTCCTAAAGTCGCCAATATTTTTCGAAGATTTCATCCGAAAATTGCAAGGTCAGTAATCTTCAAATTACTAATTTGAAATTATTATCCTGTGAATTAAAAGTACTCTTATTACTTATCCCTTACCGAAGTTGTGATTGTGATATTGGATTTGTGAATTTAATTGGTTACCTAGTGAATTTAGTCATGTGTGTGGTTCGTAATATACTACGTAATTTAATCAGGTACCAATGATTTTGCTCATTCCCAATTGTATGATATACTACGTAATATTTTGTATTTTAATACGACCTGTATGGTTTTATTGAATTGCTGTCAGATGAGAAAAAATCGCAAGGTGAAAAGCAATTCCAACTCCAAGCTAATAAAATCACGGAAGAAGAAGTTGGAAAAGCTCAAGTTTTTTTGTTTTGTTTTTGCAATTGGCAGTTCTAAAGTTTCTCTCAATAAGTCATTACTTTTCCAAGTATTATTTGTTTCCATCAAAATATGTGGGACGTTCGTTTATCAGTTAATTGTTTCACTCTCACTCAGGAGGACAAGGAGAAAGCTATCCTTTTATCTAAAAGCATGGAGACCTTGGCGTAAGAACTGCTTTTTTATAAGATCTACTTTTAAAAAAAAAATCATGTAATCTTCTTTCGTTTCATGAATAATTAGGAATTCATGTAATTAAAGTGGCAGTCTTTTGTTTTACATTGCAGGAAATATAGGATTGGGGATGATGCATATTCACTTTTGAGGTCTTCAAGAAACTTGGGCCAGGTTGGTAATGTTACATCAAATCATTTTCACTAAACTCAAGCCATGAAGTGAAATATTTCTTATTTAGTCCATCTGCTCTTGTTTTTATTAGGTTGAAACTAATCAGGATAAGAGAAGAAGAGAAGTTCAATATTCTAAAGCAGGACTAGAAGTGCCAAGTGGCGATCGACCCTTTAAGAAGAATAAGAACAATAATGCTAATAGCATTTTAAGTGATGCTGAACAAGAATATGGTGAAACTCAATCAACTTCTCCTGTCATCAATGACTATATATTGCGCGCACCAGTAAGCAAAGGAGATACATTGCATGAGGCATCTTCTTGTCTAGGAACCTCTAAACCTTATGTTTCCGATGGAGGTTCTTCAACAACAGTTAGGCATGCAACAACAGATGAATATAATGAGCCCTCAAGGACTGAATCTCTGCGATACCCACCGTCCACCCCAAGTTGCGTTGATGATGGAAGGGCAGGATTAAAGGTTACATCTTTATCTATATATTATAGTGCTCCCTCCACTCTTAAAAAATGTCATATAGGAAAAAATGTGGGTTTAAGGAGAAAATTATTTTGGTCAGAAATTGAAAAATGCACCCTTATTGATTTTAGGTAGTAAAACTAACAAGTAAACGTGAAACAGACATGAAAGAGTAACTTAATCAATTTACTATGTTTTTATTGGATTGCTTGATGGCCAGATGTTCGTGAATGTGATTTAGGTAATATACAATTCTTTGAATTATTTGAGATTGGGAGTAAAGGGCAGCCTTGGCGCACTGGTTAATTTGTTGTGTAACCGTTGTGGTTGGACCCTTTCCCGGACCTTTGCCTTGTCGGGGATGCCTTTGTGCACGGGCTGCCCTTTTTTAATTTGAGATTGGGAGTATATTATAATCCTTAAGTTAAATTACCTATTATGCCTCAAAGCAAATTGCTTCTAAGCAATGTTGAGAGTTCTTTTGTTTCATGCTAGTTATTTGCTATCAACTTATTTTTCCTTATATAATGACTTGGACAGCTTGAAACTGATAGAAAACAGAATGCTAACCTCACTGCCTGTCCACCCCAAAGGTCTTTAATTGCCCCGACTGTAGTGCATGTTTTTAGACCAAAAGAGGTTGAAGACAAAAGGAAAAACCTTCCAATAGTCATGATGGAGCAGGAGATAATGGAGGCCATAAATGATAACACTTGTGTAATTATTTGTGGTGAGACTGGCTGTGGCAAGACTACCCAGGTTCCACAGGTGATAATTGCTTTAGTTTTTACTTGTTTTTCAATGGATTATATTATGGACACTTTTGGTAAGGGTTATTTGGCTGAAATTACAGAAATTATTGAAATGAAAGTGTTTCACAACATCCATTTCAGCCAATTAAGTTGGTCAAAAGCTACTGTTTCTGTTCAGTCTGCTGGTATCAGGTCACCAACCGGAGCCGTTGTACTCTCTTTCATCTTTACCTTTTGGTGTGAATGTGTTTTTTCAGTTCCTTTATGAAGCTGGATTTGGATTGCATTCTAGAAGAGGTGGGATTATTGGTGTAACCCAGCCCCGTCGGGTTGCTGTACTTGCAACTGCCAAACGGGTGGCCTTTGAGCTTGGTTTTCATCTAGGCAAAGAGGTTGGCTTTCAAGTCCGGCATGACAGGAAGGTGGGGAATAATTGCTCAATCAAGTTCATGACGGATGGAATTTTGCTGCGAGAAGTGCAGGTCTGGTAACAGGTCTATAGTTGTGCTTCTTATTCACGAGGGGAAAATTCTCTCCTTAATGGCTTTACATATTTGTTTGGTTAAAGTGAAATAGGAGAGAAAGAAACATGAAGAAAATTGAGTTGTTTTGTTGTTTGGTGGAGAAGAGGGGTGACAATGGTGGGTCCCACCTCTTTATTTCTTCTATCTTATGGAGAAATGAATCTCCCGAATTCTACCCATAAACCCTACCAAACAACATAAAATAGACCATTTCCCTTCTCTTCCTCACCAATTTATTTTTTCTCTATTACAGTATTACTTCCTTAAACCAAACAAAAGCTACAAGTATAAGCCAGTCCTCTTGTGTGCACATTTTTTCTAGAGCTATTTGTAATTTATTTATATCACTAAATGCAGAATGATTTTCTATTAAGACGTTACTCAGTCATAATCTTGGATGAAGCTCATGAGAGAAGCTTGAACACAGATATACTTGTCGGGATGCTCTCACGTGTAATAAGAGAGCGCCAGGTAACTCCCTTTTATTTTTCTCACTTTTCGGTTTTGTCAAAAAATGACCCTTTTATTCATTCCCTTATTCTCTGTATCTTGTCAGAGAGAATTTTTGGAGCAGCAGAAGAAAATACTATCAGGAAATACTATAAGCGACGAAGAAAAGATATACCCTTTGAAACTTGTGCTGATGAGTGCTACGCTTCGGGTTGAGGACTTTGTGGCTGGGGGAAGAGTTTTTCCCGATCCTCCACCCATAATAGAAGTCCCGACCCGTCAATACCCAGTCACAACACACTTCTCCAAGAGAACTGAGATTGTAGATTATGTTGGTCAAGCTTACAAAAAAGTATTGTCTATCCATAAGAGACTTCCTGCCGGGGGCATACTCATCTTTGTAACCGGACAGCGGGAGGTGGAGTTCTTGTGCAAGAAGCTAAAGCACGCTTCTAAGGACATGACTGAGAAAAAAAAACTTCAAAGAAAAAGACCAGTCACTGTCTTCGGTGACACCTTCTGAGGATAAAGATATGAAGGAGGTAAGTGAGGCATTTGAGGTAAATGAAAACACAAAGCTTGAAATAACTGAACGGTTTAGTTCTTATGATGAGGAACATCTGGATACCTATGAGGATGATTGCGACATTTCCTATGATTCAGAGGATGATAGTGATCTGGAAGTTTCTTCTGATGAGGACGAACAATCGAATCGACATTTATTGGAGTCTGATGAAACCCTTGATTCACTAAAGGCTGCTTTTGAATCTTTGTCTGGAAAGAAACCCATACTGTCAAACACTGAGAGGAAATCAAATGCGCCGAGTATTCCTCCATGTGTGGGTCCCATGTGTGTCCTGCCCCTTTACGCAATGCTTCCTGCAACCGCTCAGCTTCGTGTCTTTGAAGAGGTAAAGGAAGGAGAGCGTCTTGTTGTTGTTGCTACGAATGTGGCCGAAACCTCTTTGACTATTCCCGGAATAAAATATGTTGTTGACACGGGCAGAGAAAAAGTGAAGAAGTACAACTCCTCAAATGGGATGGAAACGTATGAAGTGCAATGGATAAGTAAAGCTTCGGCTGCCCAGCGTGCCGGTAGGGAAGGAAGGACTGGACCCGGTCATTGCTATCGCCTTTATTCTTCTGCGGTCTTTAATGACATATTGCCTTCCTTCTCAGATGCTGAAATATTGAAAGTGCCTGTTGATGGTGTTGTGCTCCTCATGAAATCTATGCACATTGGCAAGGCAAGTTTTAGTATTTCAGCTGTTTGTAACTGTAAATATTTTCCTATTATTATGACACATCTGAGCAATGTGCTTTTTTATTTAACTTTCTCTAATGATAGAGAACTGATAGACTAGTCTCATTAGAAGTTCTTTTTTGGCAATTTAGTCCCATTACCTTTGAAATTTCATGAATTAGTCCTGAATTACCGGAAATGTTAAGGATTACCAGAAAGTACTGTCCAACACATTTGTGAGTAAGTTATTGGTCGTAATGTTGCAAGTTTATTAAATTTTAGAAACCTAAATATGCATTTTAAGAATAAAACTGAAAACGGAGCATTAACATTAAAAATACATTTTTGGCACATAAATTCTACAAAATTGTCAAGTTTAGCACTGATTTTCCTTGCTCGATTTCAACGGCACTTTATAATGGTTTGTATGTGTAAAGATAACCTGCACGAAGATAAAGTTACTTTTTGGGTTCTGCTACTCCATATTTTTATTCAGTTATTCCTTTCTTCTGGACATCCATATGCATGACTAATGGGACGCGGACAATCTCCTTGTAATTTCAGGTTGCAAATTTCCCTTTCCCAACCCCTCCTGAAACAGCTGCCTTAACTGAAGCAGAGCGCTGCTTAAAAGTTCTAGAAGCGCTTGACGTGAACGGGAGGTTGACGCCTCTTGGTAAGGTCATGGCACAGTGTCCGATGAGTCCACGTCACTCCCGTATGCTCCTCACAGTCATTCAGATGATGCAAAGAGTTGAAGAATATGAACGGGCAAACACCGTCTTGGCTTATGCCGTTGCATCAGCTGCAGCTTTGAGCTTATCAAATCCTTTTCTAATGCAGTTCGAACAACCCCAGAGTGATCAAGGTGAGAGAACTGATGAGAAGGAAGAAAAAAGAGGAAAAAGAAGTTGAAAGAAACCGTTAGAGTCTCTAGGGCAAAGTTCTTAAACCCCACTAGTGATGTGTTGACCATAGCTAAAGTGTTGCAGTGTTTTGAACTGTCTGGTAATCCAGTGGCGTTCTGTATTGAAAATGGATTACACCTAAAGACCATGGAAGAAATGTCCAAGCTCAGGAAGCAACTTCTTCACGTCGTCTTTAACTCAAAGGGTATGTCTGGATCGCAAAATAATCAGCAAATGAGAAAAAATGTTAAGGGCAGTTCCTTCTTGTGCTTGGTTGTACCTTGAAAAATACCAGAAGAAACTAAAATATGATTAGTTTTTTAAAGTTTAAGAGCCTACTTGGCAATGGTTAGTTGGCTGGATCTGCTGATATTTCTGCGCGGAGAAGTATTTGGTAAAATCATTTCAGTCATGTAAAAAGTGAAAAGCCATTATTCTGCTTATTCAAATTATTCTGCTTAGGAGCAGAATAAGCTGAACAAGACTACCAAAGTGGCTCTAAAGGAAATTGGTTGACTTTGACATTATATTCATTTTCCTAAACATTTTCTTTCCCACTAACTTTCTCCTATGTTTTATTTCCTCCCTATTTTTCCCCCTAGTATCCGGATTCCAAATGGACCCAAAGTGTGACGGACAGAATGGCTTCTCATGGTGCCATGGGACGATTGAGGATGTAGAAGCTTCATGGAAGGCTTTCTTGGATAAGCATAATTGTCTCCACCTGAATGAAGAGGAGATAATTGGGCAAGCTATCTTTGCGGTTTGGGCTGATCGGGTAGCCAAACGGATCAAACGAATTTCAGGACTGTCTGAAGAAGACATGAAAGCAACCTCAGTTCGTTACCAAGCTTGCATGGTGAAAGAAACGGTATTCCTCCACCGTTGGTCAACTGTTTCAAAATCCGCACCCGAATTTCTAGTGTACAGTGAACTTCTGCATTCTAAAAGGCCATATATTCATGGAGCAACAAGTGCAAGAGCAAACTGGCTTGTTAAATACGGTCAGTCCATGTGCAGTTTTTCAGCCCCGCTTTCTGACCCGGAACCGTACTACGACCCTTTGACCGACCGGGTTTTATGCTGGGTTATTCCTACTTTTGGGCCTCACCTTTGGAAACTCCCACTGCATTCTCTGCCCATCAAAGATAATACGAAACGAGTTTCAGTTTTTGCCTATGCATTGCTTAAAGGTCAAGTCTTGCCATGTTTGAAGCCCCTGAGGAAATTTATGGCGGCCACACTGGGTACCATTTTGAGACCGGAAGCATTGGGAGTGAAACGGGTCGGGAATCTCTTGAATAGATTGAAGAGTACTAGGGTGGGAAGTATTGACGGTTGGGTTATGCTTAAGAAATTGTGGGAGAATAACCCCAGGGAGTTGTTTCCAGAAATAATGGATTGGTTTCAGGAAAGGTTTCATGACCAGTTTGAAGCTCTTTGGGAACAGATGCTTGTAGAAATTCATTTGGATCCAAAGCAACGTTTGTCCAAGAAGGTCAAGAGAAGCAGAAATGGGGGCCGCGTAAAATCCTAAGCTTTGCTTGCCTCTGGTTACAGACCAGGGGCGGAGCCAGGACATGGGCCAGACTGGGCCGGTACAAAGAATATTTTTGAAAATTTTTTACACGGGATTTTTTACACTAAAAATAAAGACATTTTTAAAATTTGGGCTGGGCCAGGTCTGGCCCACCCTCAGCTACGCCCCTGTTACAGACGGAGCCACACTAGTGGGGTAAGGGGGTCCCACCCCCACCCCAAGTTTTGAAATTTATTAAGGGTATTTTAGTAATTATAAAATTATTAACATGAAAATATTAGTGAATCCCATTTCAGCAGAAGCTTTTTTGGTTGGGGTACCCTTTTCCTGTAACTTCCTGTAACCATTTATATTCAGTGCAAAATATAGTTTCCTTTCATGTTTCAAGTTCAATGCGTTTGTGTAAACTCTCATTGTAGTTTTTGCTTCAAAGTATTTACGTAATTAGCAAATTAGCAGTACTTTTAGTTTTAGGCCATATTTGGTGCTTTTTAAAGGGAAAAATAATTAAAATACCCCAAACTTTGAAGGGGTGTGAGGTAAACACTCCAAACTTGTATGTGTAATTTAAATATCCCAAACTTTACATAAAAAGTTATGTTAGCACCATGAGCATATAATTTTCACCATAAATATATGTTCATAAATTTCAAATTAATTAATGACCATGGTGCTAAAATAACTTTTATGTAAAGTTTGGGGTATTTAAATTACACATGCAAGTTTGGAGTATTGACCTCACACCCCTTCAAAGTTTGGGGTATTTTATTTATTTTTCCCCTTTTTAAAATGTAACATACTAGTAATCCTAGTATGCAAGTAAAATTACTTAATAAACTTAATTCAAATAATTTTGAGAGAATTTCCTAAATAGGACTAAAAGAAAGTAGAATTGCAAAAACAGAACTCTTATGTTTTATTAAACAAAAATAGGACCAAAAAGAGCTAATCTGACAAAACTACCCTTAATGAAAACAATTAAGGCTGTGCGTGCGAGTTTCCCAGGTGTGCGTAACTGCGTATGGTGTGCGTATGTAGGTGTGTGTTTCCAAGCATCCAGAGTTCAGGATCTCCCGTCAATGACGCTTCCACCACCCTTCATCAAATCGACAACCACCGCCCACCACACCTCGTCGAGTTCGTTGTCATCATTCTCTGAGAAGGCACTGATGAGTTTGTGCAGACCTCAAGGGGGAATAGGGGGGATGACATCTTAATAACAAAAATGACATAACAATGACATTTTTTGTATTAAAAACATGGCATTTCCGAGTGTAAATTATGATAATATCATATTAAAAAAATGGAAGATTAAATTTGAAAAATGTAAAATACGGGGGAAAAGCAAAAAAGAAAGATCAATAATAAAATGCCATCTTCATAAAGCTAGTAGCAAAAAATGACATTATTAGTCAAATAGGTCAAAAACATGGCATTCCACAAAGAAATCTTGTCCGTTTGATAGGGAAAAAATGACATTATTTGTCAAATGGGTCAAAAATATGGCAATCCATATATTTTAATTCATAAGCAATCTTGTCAGTTTGATAGGAAGAGCAATGATAATGTCATACAAGTGACATTTTTTCAATTCAGTGTTCAAATAATAACTAAAGTCATGGCATTTTTCAAATTCGAAAATAATAAATATATAAACAGTGTAATATAATTTCTGATAACTCATTGTTGAGACCTTGGTTTAGATCCTCATCCAAAATTTTCTAATCTAAAACAATTTTTTAGAATCCTAAAAGTAAGAAAGTGGACTGAATATTAAAAAATCAAAATAAAAATGGAACAGAGTAGGAGCAGGAAGCAGAAGAAAATAGAAGAGAGGAGAAAGAGGAGAGGAGAGGAGAGGAGAGGAGAGGAGAGGAGAGGAGAGGAGAGGAGAGGAGAGGAGAGGAGAGGAGAGGAGAGGAGAGGAGAGGAGAGGAGAAGAGAAGAGAAGAGAAGAGAAGAGAAGAGAAGAGAAGAGAAGAGAAGAGAAGAGAAGAGAAGAGAAGAGAAGAGAAGAGAAGAGAAGAGAAGAGAAGAGAAGAGAAGAGAAGAGAAGAGAAGAGATGCAGAAAATTACTTGAGGTCGCCGGACATCGGAGACGATCGACTAGCGGTGGCCATGGTTGGGGTGTCGAAGAGCGGTGGCTATGACAATGATATCGACAAGCGCGTTGCAGCTTTGGAAGCTCGGCTAATCGCCATGGACCTGTGAATAGATTCTTCATAGGAGAGATGACATCGATCTGCATCTGGGGTCGTAAATAAGAGTCGGTGATTTTGCATCTGGGGTGGGGTTAATTACATGAAGGTTAAAATTGTAATCTGGAGTCCTATTTGGAGAATAATAAACTCATGGTCCTATTTTTGAGTTTTGACTATGTTTTAGTCCTATTTTAGACAATTTCTTAATAGTTTTTTTCTAGCAATTCTCAAATTAGAAGGGTCCTTAGTTTTCTTGTAGTGCTTTATATTCCATTAAATGTCAACTTCTTGATTATGATGAGTTTGGAAGTGACCTCCTAAGTTGATAAAGATTCAAGACTTTTATTAGTTGAAAGGCTAAAGGGTCAAATAGGTCATTGAATTGACTTAAAGTGTTCAATTAGCCCCTTATGTAGGAGGTTCTGCCCGGCCGTTGCTAATTGGGGCGGTTCCCGGAGGTTCTGCCTACCCGGCCGGTGAAATTTTTTAGCATCTTCTTTATTAAGTCTAGTTTACCCATACCAAATTTCAGCTAAAAATTCAACCGGGGAGGCAGTCAAATGATTTTCCGAAATGTACTGCGTTGTTTATATTCGCAGTTATCTTCAAAAAATCATTTGACTGCCTTCCCGATTGAATTTTTAGCTGAAATTTGGTATGAGTAAACTAGACTTAATGAAGAAAATGCTCAAAAAAATTCATCAAAAAATTTCACTGGGAACCACCCCAATTGACGAGGCCCATATCGAGAACCGAGGACATAACGCTACTTCAAGCATCTACCTCGACGAGGCTTTCGTACATTTTCAACAACTCTCCCGCTTCTGAGACTGCTTAAACTGTTTGATTCATACTATTTTTTGGGTTCCCTAAATAGTGTAAAAAAAGTGCTTTCAAATATAGACTCAGCCTTGCCCATGCAAATTCGAGACAGTGATTGAATTGAAACAAATATTGAGATGTGTAGAGTAGACTACATGAAAAAATTGTGTTAATTTATGCTCAGTAGAAAATTACATTATCTAATGCTTGAAACTAGTATATTCCTAGTTCACCCAGTTCGTGAAAAATATTCAGTTGTGGTGTACTGGACTACTGGTGTTCATGAATTTCTGCATTAAATAACACATTTCATTGTAGACTTGTAAAATATATTTTTTTTCATTCTTGTGATTTATTTCTTTTTAGTCTTTCACGAACGGCATTTGTTTGACAGTGGAACATGCCATAACAACATATTTTATATCTTAGTCGAATCATTCTAAATCGCCGTAAATAATACGGGAGTATTTGCGTAATTGTTGAAGTCTCCATTAAAAAGTGTGAGTGATTAATATCATTTTAACTTGACTCTTATTTTGCAAAATAAAAACAAAACTATGTTAAAAGTTTTGTTATGCATTCGAGATTGATTTTTTCTTAAGTGGAGATTGTAACTGCGTTAAAGAACTAAAATGAAATATATTATGTTTATAGGGATGAAAAAAATGACAAAGATTATTTTGCAAGCAATAGAGACATGAAACATATTTAACCTTCAATCTTATTTTGTTAGATATTTGCATATTGAAGCTTTTGAACAACGTTTAAAATAGGTACTCTGCAGTTATTATATATGATAGAGAATAGTCAGAATACGATAGTATTTTTTATCTAAATTTCCACTCTAATCTTTGGAATATGTTATGTCTCAATTTAGCTCAGGTCTCATCAATTTACACTCACAAAGGATGAAAAAACCACCACTAGGAACACAAGGTAAGGTTGTGGGCAACAACCGACTAGCTATTCCAGGCAAAACGTCCAACAAACCCCACCGAGGAGAGGCAGATTTGAATTGTGAGAGTTAGGGTTTCGGCCAGCCAAAGAATTAAATAGGCGAAGTACTGAAACCATAGATGGTAACTTGCCATCTGCGAAGATATTGCAACGGCTCGAAACAAGGAAGTAATCGCCCGGTAAGAAGAAGGAAAGAATCACGTAAAGGTGTGAAAGGGAATAGAGCATGGGTCGGGTACTCCTCGGGTAAATTGGGCTTAAGGATATTGTTGGGCCAATACAACACATTCTCCACCTTATTGGACCCTAGTGGTGTAGAGTTAAAACTCTAATACATACATGAGACTCATCATCGCTGGATTGCCCGAATGATCACAAAGACACATTCAGGCAAAAGGGGTAAGATCACCAGGCAACTTATCCGCAATCAATGTTTAACGTGTGTTTGCACGACAACTTTTTGACAGAGAGACATTTAGTCTCCATGTCAGCAGGATTAAACTCAGATGGAATTTTAAGCAACTTGATATGACCTGCACTAACAATATCACGTATAAAATGATATTCCATTGCCTAGGGGACTACTTCAGGCCGTACAAGGCCTTCCTAAGCATGTGATCACTCTTCATGGGATTCCCAAAGCCCTCAGGTTGGGACATCGATTTTTATGTCTAAATCACCATGCAAGAAAGCAGTGGTGACGTCCATTTGCTTCATTTCTTAATCATTATGAGCAACAAGAGCAAACATCATTCTAATCGTAGTAATTTAACTACAGGAGCAAAGATTTCAACAGTATCAATATGGGAGGGGATGAGAAAATTCTATAGAGCGAGGACATAAAGTTATCTAAATTTGGCCAAAGCATACTATCAATTTATCAAAGGAATACACAAAAACACAATGTCCATTACACAAATTATTAGTAGAATTTGTATGCATAAATCTCCAATAGAACATTAATAGAATTATATTAATGTTTCTAAAAATGAGTTTCAATACAGATTCTTAGACTCGTTTACATTCTGGCGACAATACGTCTAATGTTTGATTTGCTGAACTTTATAGTCTCTTATAATATATATTCAATGTTAAATGTGAACATCTTTCATTGATATGACTTTTGGAACATTTGACTTCCTCCTTGTGAGTGTCACAGTGATTTCATCAAACCCAAGATATTTAATCAATATGTCTGATATTTTCACAAGTTAAAATATCATATACTATACTACCCTCCGATCACAAACTTTATTTATTTCAAAAGTTAGAATTTAGAACATAGGTGGTAGCTTTTAACTCTATAAATTGGAATGTTCATAATCTAGTGGTAGCTTTTAACTAATTATGAATGGGAAGGTTCATAATCTAGCAAATTGAATGTGTTTCAATCATCTACATGCACAATACAATAAGCTTTCAAAGGGTCACCCGTGCACTACACCCCAGCTCCATATTAATATTGTACGTA